GAACGCCGGGTTGCGGATGGAGAGGCAGCGAAGAGCGGTTAGTTCCCATATAGAGAGTGGGAGGTGTGCCATAAACGGGAGGGTGAGAGCGAGGGAGGTGAGAGAATCTTGAAGCCCGTAAAACGTGTTTTCATAGAGCCGTGGGACCGGATACGCTTTCGCCCAATCAGGGCCCAGATGCAGCTCCAGATGTGACAGTAACGAGAGGTGACGGAACGGGGCGGAGGAGCAGGTGACGGTGCAAGCAGGGTCTGACACGTGGAGGGTGAGGGATTTTAGAGACGGGACGGAGGGGAGGAGGGAGGGAGGGATGGTTTTGAGTGAGAGCGAGAGGTGGGAGAGACGGGTGAAGAGAGGGATGATGGTCAGAGGGAGGCGAATGGTGTTCGACGAGGGGTTGTGAAAAGGCGGGAGGTCGGGGGATGGGAAGAAGTCGAGACAAGGGAAGGAGGAGGAGGAGGATGAGGCGGAGGAGGAAGAGGAGGAAGAGGAGGAGGAGGAGGAGGTGGAGGTGAGGAGGTGGAGGGAAGTGAGGTGTGAGCATCGTTGGAGCAATAGCATGAGTCCGTGAACTGAATCTGGATGGGATTCTGGGTTTTGGGTGTTGCCACCCACACCAGCGCTCTCCGAGTCCCCAGTGTTGTCAGATGGATCCTGATTGGTGCCGGTGGTGACATGGAAGATTCGGTCTCTGTGATTGGAGGAGAGAGTGACTGTATCGGGGGGTTGGGAGCTTGTGCGTGCGACACGTAACAGGAGCTGTCGGGCCATTTTTTCCCCTTCCACCTGCCGGCCCAACTGGATGTGACAATGGCGAAGGGATGGGCAGCAACGAGCAACCAGGCCGCAGACGGCATCAATATAGTCACATCCGGTGTCAGTGACCTCCCCCTGGGAGGAGTCGGCCCCGAGATGGGGCAGAAACGGGAGGTGGAGGGATGTGAGCTCTGGGAAGCTTCGCAGCATTGAAGCAACACGGTGCAGAGGCAAGGATCTGGTACTCGGAGTTGTATCGAGTCGAAGCACGTCTTGTAGCGAGGATAGCGCCAGGGAGCGTGAAGCTAACGAGCCCAATCTGTCGCCAGACGGGGCCAGGGAAGGCAGAGATGCTGATGCTTCGTTATAAGCAGCCGCAGCATCCAACGAGATGTCGGCTCTAGCTGGTTCGAACGATGAAAGCGACGTTTGAAGCTCGTCCAAGCAGCATCTCGCGTCCTGGCCATCCAGGGGCGAATTAAATCCTCCCTCTGTCGCAGCAGAACCGGTGAAATCCAGCCGATTCGCTGAATCTGGACTAACGTTCCGGCGGAAAGGGAGCAGATTGAATATCGACTGACGGAACAGAGACTGTCTGAGCAACGGCTCCCATTCCAGCGAAAGCGGGTTCAGCGCGAGTGACACGTGGCAGACGGACGGGCGAACCACGTCTCTGTAGCAGCGCCACCACGAGCGACACGTGGCGCGTGCTCGTGCCACGTGCGCGGCGTTCGTTAGAAGGCAGAGGATTCGCGCGATGCAGTCAGTCGGAAGGGCCTGAGCGCCGGACGCTTGCTGAACTTGATTGTCACTCGCCACCGCCGGCGATCGCTCAGAAGGTGTGTTTTGAGTCGAGACACAGCGCGCGACGCCGCAGTCGGTCGGAATGGCCTGAGCGCCGGTCGCGGGGGCCTGAAAAGCAGTCGCAGCCGCCGGCGATTGCTCTTCCCGCATCCCGGCGTGAGGCCGAAGCGGCGGTTGCTCTCCCTCCATTACACCGTCAGGGTTTGTTGACAGTGGCGGTCGCTCTCCTTCCATTACACCGTCAGGGTTTGTTGACAGTGGCGGTCGCTCTCCCTCCATTACACCGTTGGGTCTTGACAGGAGCAGTGGCGGTTGCACTGATGATGAAAACGCGAAGGTTTCGGTCGCGGCCATCCCTCTGCGTGCCGTAGAAGAACCACACGGTATGCTACTCAGTGATAGCGGTGGCGCACTTGCGGTGGCGCACTAGCGGTGGCGCTACAACGCTAGCGGTGGCGCTGAGTGATACCAAGCTCACATAGCAATGGTTGATAAGCTCCGCGCTTCTGATAGGCACACAATCGAAGAAGATCGTCGAGAATCTCGGAATGCGTTGAATAAAGACCTCGGGAGACGATGCACTGATCTAGCTCGCAGAAGCTACTATCTCGTTCAAGATAGCATTCTTGGAAAACGGATGATCCAGGAAAATGACGGCAGGACGACGGACAGAATGACGGAGAGAATGAGGGGCCGAATGAGCGACAGAGGCTCGCAAAATGACATGAATCCAAGAAAACTGCCGTGTTTGAATGACTTGTTATGAGACGTGAGTCGTGCTGTGAGTCAGTCGTGAGTCGTGACGGATGCGGAAATACCAAGGTTCAATGGTCCAGTTCCGCCCTCCCGACGGAAACTCCATGGCCGCAGAGCGCTTCGGGGAATGAGAGTGATGATTGCTTTACCTGACCTGAATACATCGCCTAAAACCCGTATTCAATCGCAGTGAATCGCTTTATAGCCAGGTGAGGGGTGATTTTGGTAGTGATGAGATAGCCGAATGTTTCTCTGTTTACACGTCAGCAGTCGCCTTGAAAGAGTTTCCAGTGCGGTTTGCTATGGTTTTATCACATTGGGTATGGTGTCAGGAGGCTCTGTTCTTGGAGCCCCTTCAGTACGACGTCATTTGTGACACCTAAACCTACGAGGTCCTGTTCAGAAGGTTCAAAGTGGGGGCACCTCTAGTGACGCGTTCATGGGTCGAGAGTCGAGACTCGAGATATGGGCCCTGATCGGTAGCCCCTAAGCCGAGTAAACTTCCGTGGCGTTGGCACTCGAACAGGAGTACACCGACCGACACGTGTGGGCACGTGTCGGTGGGTGCTTCCCATCTCCTCCTGTAAGTTTCCCAACTCGGAGGGGTGATCGGCACGCCCTCGAAACTCCGCGTAGGGAAGTTGCGAGGGTCGTGAGCGCAATTTCGTTCAAAACACTGTTGCGTTCGGCCCATACTGCCCAGCTCGTCCCCAAGAAAATATCTTCTCCCACAGGGGTAACTGGGCCGCAAAAATGCACCATCAAGAACCACTTCTTGAATCCCCTCCAACGCCCAATTCAATCGTGACTCCAACTCCACTTCGAACCCTGAAAAACCCTCCAGAACGCTATGGCGGAGATAAATTACATATTAGATAAGCAGCACAGAAAACGCCAAAAAAATAGAGTCTGTTCGTCATGAAATAGTGAGTGGGTTATTGGTGGGTTATATTCTAAGAGGAAGAAAGGCCCTTTTGATACTTGGCGCCTTGCTGGCCACTAAAAATTACATAAAAAGGCCTAAGAATACCTCGCCCTTACGTGGTCCCTCTTACGCCCTAGAACTCTTAGAAGGCCACCCAGATAGGATGCACGGTACTCTTCGCATCGAGCCGTTCCTCTACATCAAGCTCCTTAAGATTCTGATAAATCGCCAGCTTTTATCGCATGGCCGCGATGTGACCGCTCATGAGCAGCTTATGATTTTTCTGAACCTCGTGGGTCAAGCTGCGTCGAACCGAGCTCTTCAAGAACGCTGGCAAAGATCATGTGACACGATAAGTGTTGCTGTTCATCGTGTCGCGAAGGCCATTTGTGCTTTGCAGTCTGAATACGTTCGGATGCCACCAGAGGCTGACAACACGTACCTGAATAGTCGCCGGCACTTCTCGCATTTCCGAGGAGCCATTGGCGCCATCGATGGCACGCTCATTCCTGCAGTCATTCCTAAGGACCGGCAGCAACCGTTCTTTGACAGGCATGGAAACAAAACCCAGAATGTCCTGGCTATTGTATCATTCAACGATCTTTTCTTGTACGCTCTCATCGGCTGGGAAGGCTCGACACATGACTCCACTGTCCTTCAAGACGCTCTCACACGAGGATTGTCGCTACCTCATGGCACGTACCTCCTTGCTGACTCTGGATACCGTAACGATGCGATAACCCTCGCTCCATACCGCTCCGTTATGTATCATCTTGAGCGTTGGCAGCAAACGGGCCACGTGCCTCAAAGGAAAGAAGAAATGTTCAATCGTGTACATTCCTCTCTGCGCTCGCACGTAGAATGTGCGTTTGGGCAAGTAAAGGCCAGGTTCCCTATTTTAAAGACCATGTTGCCCTACAATTACAAAATGCAGTGCAAGATTGTTCGCGCGTGCTTCATCTTGCACAACTTCATCAAGCAGGGAGGAGGGGTTGACTTCACCCCAGAGGCTGAAGATTCTAGTGCTCCTACTCTGCAGCACGATGAGTTAGAGGATGAGCGTTGCATGTTACCGAGCATTAGCTCATCTCGCATTGGAGATGAACGGAGGGAATCCATTGCTAGTGCATTATGGGAAGCAAGGGCTGTTAGCGTGGAGTGAACACGATCCATAGTTTCATGTGAATTGAAGTAATAGCATCTATTATGGTAGTTCCATTTGACAGGGGCTGGTCTATCATTGAGTTGCTGCTCATGCTTGGCCACTTGTGGATTTAAAGTAACGACACAGAATAAGCAGCATATATCTTCCCACAGTTCATGTTGGTGGTTGTGTTGTCGGATATATCTTGCCTCAGAGGGTGTCCTGTACGATACAGGGGGTTAGGCATAAGGGTGAATGGGTAAAAAACAACAACGGGAGGGAGGGAGTGGTTAAAACAACCATTGGAGAATTGGGGGGGGGTTGTGCAAGTAGGGTTGCATTACTGGTTCAGTTGCTGTCCATCAAGAGCAACATGGGAAGTACTTAGAAAAGAATCATGGGCACAATACATGGACACCACAGCATCTTCTCCAATGACCGAGGCTCCAAAGGCTTAGGGGATTAGAACCACCTTACACGCTGGCACCGCTGCCGTCGCCACCAGATGTGTCCCCCATTTCAGTGTGGGGTGAAGCCGGAATGAAGCTGTCGCCACCATGTGAATAAGTATGTTTTTCAGATGCATGTCTCCCTTCACCAGCTCCTGCCGACATGATGCCCCTAGGTGCGAACGGATTGAACAATGGAGGTGCAGAGAATGCATGTGTCGTGGACTGTGTACCGAGCATCGGTACAGGGTAACTAGGTGCAGAGAGAGCACCTCTTGGAGCCCAGGTCCCACCAAATGGTACTGAGAAGGCACCTCCAGATGCGTAGGGCCAAGGTAGTGTTCCAGCACCTTCTGATGCAACAATATCACCTGCGGCTGCAGAGATTCCGGCGCTCAAAGCGTAACTACTACCACCTGTGGCAGAGTAGCTGCCACCATAGGCATACCTGCCGCCACCAAATGCCCCTAACCCTCCACCAGCAGAAGACACACCGTACGGTGCTGCACGGGCACCTCTGGCAGGAGTTGATCCACCATGCAAAGCCCCAGGGAGGGAAACGGAAGGAAATGGGGTGCCAGCAGCAGATGCATTACCACCCATGGCAGGAGATGGGGTGCCAGCAGCCCATGCATTACCACCCATGGCAGGAGATGGGGTGCCACCAGCTGATGCATTACCACCCATGGCACGAGATGGGGTGCCAGCAGCAGATGCATTACCACCCATGGCAGGAGATGGGGTGCCACCAGCTGATGCATTACCACCCATGGCAGGAGATGGGGTGCCAGCAGCAGATGCATTACCACCTATGGCACGAGATGGGGTGCCAGCAACAGATGCATTACCACCCATGGCACGAGATGGGGTGCCAGCAGCAGATGCATTACCACCCATGGCAGGAGATGGGGTGCCACCAGCTGATGCATTACCACCCATGGCACGAGATGGGGTGCCAGCAGCAGATGCATTACCACCCATGGCAGGAGATGGGGTGCCACCAGCTGATGCATTACCACCCATGGCAGGAGATGGGGTGCCAGCAACAGATGCATTACCACCCATGGCAGGACATGGGGTGCCAGCAGCAGATGCATTACCACCCATGGCAGGAGATGGGGTGCCAGCAGCCCATGCATTACCACCCATGGCAGGAGATGGGGTGCCACCAGCTGATGCATTACCACCCATGGCAGGAGATGGGGTGCCAGCAACAGATGCATTACCACCCATGGCACGAGATGGGGTGCCAGCAGCAGATGCATTACCACCCATGGCAGGAAATGGGGTGCCAGCAGCCCATGCATTACCACCCATGGCAGGAGATGGGGTGCCACCAGCTGATGCATTACCACCCATGGCAGGAGATTGGGTGCCAGCAGCAGATGCATTACCACCCATGGCAGGAGATGGGGTGCCAGCAGCCCATGCATTACCACCCATGGCAGGAGATGGGGTGCCACCAGCTGATGCATTACCACCCATGGCAGGAGATGGGGTGCCAGCAACAGATGCATTACCACCCATGGCACGAGATGGGGTGCCAGCAGCAGATGCATTACCACCCATGGCAGGAGATGGGGTGCCAGCAGCCCATGCATTACCACCCATGGCAGGAGATGGGGTGCCACCAGCTGATGCATTACCACCCATGGCAGGAGATGGGGTGCCAGCAACAGATGCATTACCACCCATGGCACGAGATGGGGTGCCAGCAGCAGATGCATTACCACCCATGGCAGGAGATGGGGTGCCACCAGCTGATGCATTACCACCCATGGCAGGAGATGGGGTGCCAGCAGCCCATGCATTACCACCCATGGCAGGAGATGGGGTGCCAGCAGCCCATGCATTACCACCCATGGCAGGAGATGGGGTGCCAGCAGCCCATGCATTACCACCCATGGCAGGAGATGGGGTGCCAGCAGGAGATGCATTGCCACCCATGGCAGGAGATGGGGTGCCAGCAGCCCATGCATTACCACCCATGGCAGGAGATGGGGTGCCAGCAGCCCATGCATTACCACCCATGGCAGGAGATGGGGTGCCACCAGCAGGTGCTGAAGTTCCTGCGGCCGTGGCATGGGTGAAGCCGGCAGGTGCTGAAGTTCCTGCGGCCGTGGCATGGGTGAAGCCGGCAGGTGCTGAAGTTCCTGCGGCCGTGGCATGGGTGAAGCCGGCAGGTGCTGAAGTTCCTGCGGCCGTGGCATGGGTGAAGCCGGCACGTGCTGAAGTTCCTGCGGCCGGATAAAAGTTGAAGCCGGATGGTGCAGCAGTACCTGCATGCTGATACAAGTTGAATCCGGCAGGAGGAGCAGTCCCTGCGGGCTGATAACAGTTGAAGCCCGCAGGAGCGGACGTGCTGGTGGGCTGAAAAAAGGTGAAGCCGGCAGGTGCTGATGTGCCGGCGGTCGGAGCAAAGGTGAAGCCGGCAGGAGCAGAGCAGGTACCTCCAGTGGGTTCCGCACCCACGTACTTGGCGCGAAGCTGGGGTGGCATCGCGATGAAGATGGAAGCCATGACAGGGGTGCGTGCGAAGTCCTTGAACGTCGCGATTTTTTGTTCGTCCGATGGTTGGGACATGGACACGAGAAGGTTGGAGGCTTCAGTCACCACTTTGTGTTGCTCATCTGTGAAGGGGTTGAGACAAGCATTGGAGGGTGGGGGAGAAATACGAATGGACGGTTCGATTGGTGGTTTTGAATCGTAATGACCGTCGACATGACATATTGTTGGTGCAACCCTACGGTTTGCACTCGGCTTGTTGTCCGTGTGCGTGAATGTGTGTGTGTATGGAATGGTATGAGGGCATGGGATAATATATATTTCATGCTTATAATTGTGTGTGAATGTTGAGTCATGATGTCGAGTGTGTGTGTCGAGTCAATAGCGAGTTATCGCTAGACGCGTGTTACGCGGTCGTTTGTGTCTCGCGCGCGGTTTCTATTTTGTCGTGCGCGGTTTCTATTTTGTCCTGTGTCGAACGTTCAGCATGTCGCAGGTGTGTGCAGCAGACCCATCAAGAACTCGAGGATGAGTTTGTGATGAAGAGCCCGAGCCTTGGTGTCAAGCCTCAAGTGATTTCGAAGCTTGTCAAAAGGGTACACCTCAAGATATTGAAGATAGTTACATTACTTTGTGTAGTGTAACATTTCACTTGGTGTAGGCCCTAGTGAAGGGTAGTTTCGAGACCCTTCGTGGTTGGGGACAGTGTGGCACTGTTCCATATCACTGTACCTCGGCTCTTGGGGTTTGTAGGAGCTGGGAGTCATTCCCAACTCGTAACTCTTCCTATCTTGTGTTCTAAGACTATAGTGGCTGCCATAGTACCGTTCGTTCAAACCGACGCTGTGTCGTCAATTCTTTATCAAATCGTGCAATCTAAATTGCTAATTGTAGACGACGTGAAGACGCTCCAGATCCAATTTGAATCAAGTCATTTGCAGCTGTGAGCAGAACGCTATCAACGTTTGAAGCCGCTGTGCAGAAATCCGTCTGTGCTCTCTATCTTTCGTTTTAGGCACATTCAAGCCTATTGTGACTATAACAAGTGGTATCAGAGCCCCTTGGAGCAGTTTCGACAATGTCTGGACCTGAGGAAAGGGGTGGCAGAGGTGCTGGTGGCAGTGGAGAAGCTCAAGCTCAAGGCCAACCCCGTGATTCAGCCATGGCGCCCATGCAACCAAGTCTTGGCCCACCTAGGGATGAGCCTAGGGTGTTTGGGCTTGACAAGTTCAACGGTGACAACTTTGCTGAATGGTCCTTCAAGATGGAGAACATCTTTGACCACTATGACCTGCTGGAGGTGATGGAAGGAACGGAGAAGCGCCCCGAGAACGACCCGGAGAAGAGCCCGTGGGTGCGGAAGAGCGCACAAGGCTATCTCTTACTTGGGCAAGCGTTGGGGAGCAGTCAGATCCGTCACATCAAGCCATTCCAGCGTGAACCAGAGAAAGGACCAAAGGCATGGGCTGCTCTCAAGGGTGTACATGCTCCTGCAACAGCGGCAGTAGCGGTGGTGTTGGAACGGCAAATGGCGGCACTACGAATTGAAGAAAACGAAGCGGTTGAAGAAGGGGTGCAGAAATTCTTCGACTTGTTGACGCGGCTTGAGGGAGCTGATTTGAACTACAGTGAGCTCCAAAAGAAGACCAAGTTGCTGGCCTTACTCCCAGAGTCATGGTCCTCGCTCATCATCAACCTTAATCGCGACTTGCCCCGCCTCTCGCTTGAAGACGTGAAGCGAGCTATCCTTCAAGAGGATTTCCGCCGCCGTGAGTTGGCGAGTGCGGATGGCGCTGGGGCAGCGAGCATCGGCCGTGGATATGGTCGAGGAAGAGGCAGAGGACGAGGGGGAGGAAGGTTTGGTGGCAGCAACTTCGGCGGAGGCCGCAGGAGTGGCGGTTACGGCAGCGACGACAAGAGCTACGGACGCGGTCGCGGCCGATTCGACGGCGAGTGTCACTATTGCCACAAGAGCGGACACATGTGGCGCGACTGCTACAAACTCCCTGATGGTTGGACCCCTGCTCAAGGCCAAGAGGGTAGATGAGCAGGAGGAGGGAGAGGACGAGGCCGTGGAGGCCGTGGCGGTCGCGGTGGCGGAGCTGCAAACATGAAGAGCGGAGACAACGACAAGGACCCGAGCGACGATCGATACCCGGGTCTATTCTACTTCGTGTCGACGCAAGTACCGGCTGGTCCAGAGAAGGATGAAGGCTTTGAGGAGCCAGCAGCTGTGGGGAAGGTGACCCTACACCCCCTGGACTATTGGGTGATTGATAGTGGCGCTACCTATAGCATGACACCTCGCCCGGACTTGCTCACCGAACTCGAGCCGTCACCGGTGAAGCATGTCACATCGGCTTTGGGGCAGCGAGCAGAGGTGAAAGGCATGGGGAAGGCCATGTTCAAGGGTGCTGATGGGAAGATGGTGGGCCTCAAGAACGTGCTTTGGGTGCCCAGCCTTGCTGCAAACCCGATTTCCGTGCGGCGGTTGGCAAAGGCCGGCATGGACACGAACTCGAAGGGAGCCAAGACCTACACCGCAAGGCTTGGCGATCGAATTCTTTGGGACCTTCATGAGGACAGGGATGTCTACAACGAGATGTGGCAGATCCCAGTGGTCCCTATGCCTAAGGAGAGGCAAGTGGCAGCAAGCATCAGCACCAAGGATGGAGCGGTCGGTAGCGACGATGGCGCGAACGGTCGCGCTAAGGAGAATGAGCTCAAGAAGAGCAAACCTGGAGGGACCAGCAAGTTCAGTGAACCTAAGGAGAGTAGTGCAGCAACCAAGGAGCAGCAAAAGGGTGAGGAGAACCCAGAGGCAGCAGCGGAGGAGGACTACGGAGAGAGTATGTGGGGCGCTATTGCGAGCGCGGCATTCTCCAATCCAACTTCGGCTACGGGGGAGTGTGATTGGCTCACCTTGCATCGGCGCATGGGGCATGTGGCCCTGCCCATCTTGCAGCAGCTAGTGAAGAATGAGATGGTTGCTGGCATACGTGTGAAGGGGGAGCCCGATGAGGTGCTTGGCTGCCCGACGTGCATTCAAGCCAAGTTCACCCGGTTTCCGTTCCCTAGTTCGGAGGCAACGGCAAAGGCACCGCTTGATGAGGTGGTGATGGACGTGGTGGGCCCCCTGAAGCTTGGAGCTGCTGGAGCTGAGTATTTTCTCACCATTGTCGACGTCTACACCCGCATGACTTGGGTGTACGTGCTGGCCAAGAAGAGCGACGTGGCTGAAACGTTGAAGACGGATTGGTTCCCGATGGTGGAGCGGCAACAAGACCGTCTAGTCAAGTCAATCCGCACCGATCGAGGGGGAGAGTTCCTGAGCAAGGAGTTTGGGTTATGGCTGAAGAAGAATGGTATTCGGCACTCCCTCACCATGCCATACTCCCCTGCAATGAACGGCATCGCCGAGCGAGCGAACCGCACAATCACGGAGGCGGCACGCGGGTTGCTCATTGAAGCCGGGCTACCCGACTATTTCTGGCCTGATGCGGTGCGGAGCGCGTGTGTGGCCAAGAACAGAGCCTTGACTCATGTGGGAGCAGACAAATGGGTGCCCTATGTGGAGTGGCTAGGAAGGAAGCCAAAGGTGGATATGCTTCGGGTGTTCGGGTGCATGTGCATGGCGCTCGTGCCTAAGCATCTTCGGCACAACAAGCTTGGTGCCAAGGCGGTGTGGGCCGTGCACTTGGGCATGGCTCAAAACAGCAAGGGATGGCTTCTTTGGGACCCATTCACCAAGAAGTTCTTGGTGAGCAGGGACTGCAAGTTCATGGAGAACTTCATGTACAAGGATTGGAAGGCGGAGAATGAGGCGAAGATAGGCGTGCAGTTTGGGGAGGTGAAGAGTTCCGGTTTGGAGCATGTGGAGCTGCCTTTGGAGCTGAGCAGCGGCAGCACAACCACAAGGCAATCCTCCCTTGTGAATGGGGGAGAGGAGGCCAATGACGCAGAGGAAGAAGAGGAGGAGGTGCAGCAAGTGAGCGAGCGTGCACCGTCACTCCCTTCCCGTACTACGAGTGCTCCACGGATTCGAGCCACACCGCAGCAACGCCAAGGCCTTCAAGTCCCTGCAGCTGAGGAGGAAGGAAGGGGGAAGAGGAGAGTTCAACCCCCTAATAGGCTGACCTATGATGCGCCGGGAAAGCAGGGCAAGACAGCCCTGGCCGGAGCGGCAATGATGGTCGGAGACGACGAGGAGAGTGACTACGAGGAGTGTGCCTTCGCGTTCTTCTCTCCGGTGGAGATGCCGGGAGAACCAGCAACTCTCAAGGAGGCTTTGGAGAGTAGTGATGCTGAGGAGTGGAAGAAGGCCATGGAGAGTGAGCTGAAGAGCATCGAGGAGAATGACACGTTTGAATTGGTGGAGCTACCGGAGGGGCGTACGGCGATAACGTCCAAGTGGCTCTTCAAAATCAAGTCGGATGCCGACGGCAAGATCGAGCGCTACAAATCTAGGCTTGTAGCCAAGGGGTACCAGCAGAAGGAGAAGGTGGACTTCAAGGAGCTGTTTTCCCCTGTGGTGAAGCCGACGACGCTGCGAACCCTATTCGCGGGAGCCGCCATCAAAGGATGGGTAGTAAAGCAAATGGACATCGTAACGGCATTCCTTAACGGCATCCTTGAGGAGGAGATTTTTATGGCGCAGCCAGAGGGGTTTGATGATGGTAGTGACAGAGTGTGGAAGCTGAAAAAGGCCCTCTATGGGCTGAAGCAGGCCCCTAGGCAATGGTACATGAAGCTGCGCGAAGTGTTGGAGGGGATCGGCTTCACTCCCTCAACGGCCGATCACTCCTTGTTCATGCTTGGCGAGGGGGAGCAGAGGAGTTTCATGGTGGTTTATGTGGATGACATCCTCATTTTCTCACCCTCTTCTGACCTTGTGAAGGAGGTGATGCTGAAGCTTCAAGACAAGTACAAGTGCAAGGCCTTTGGTGACGTGAGCTTCTACCTTGGGCTCCACATCGAACGAGATGTGGAGAAGCGGTGCATGCGGGTGCATCAACGAAAGTACCTGGAGGCATTGGCTGCCAACTTTGGGCAGAGTGAAGGCCATGTGGCTACACCCTTTCCCTCTGGGTTCAAGTGTGTGAAGGGACCAGAGGAGGAGAGCGTTGGTGAAGAGGAGAGGCGCCGATTTCACTCGTTGGTGGGCAGCCTCATGTATGCGGCGGTAAACACCCGACCGGACGTCGCGTTTGCTACCGGGCAGCTGGCTAGGGTTGTGCAATGCCCTAATGAGGAGCAGGTAGCAGCTGGAATGAGGGTGGCCAAGTATCTTGGCCAAACACCGACCGTTGGGCTGCAATACTCGGCGGCGGCACAAAGGCGCCAAAAGGGCGCGGATGGTGTTGAACCCGGGCGTTTGTTCCTCACCGCCTACTCGGATGCTTCATATGCATCAGAACCAGAGGACATGACAAGTGTGGGAGGCTTCATATGCTGTGTTGGTGGAGGCCCAACTGCTTGGGAGAGCAAGAAGCAGGTTGACCAAGCTTTGAGCTCGGTGGAGTCCGAGTACATGGCACTCTTCCGTGCCGTACGGGAGATTGTGTGGCAGCGGCGTTTGTTGGCTGAATTGGGGAGGAGCAGCAAGGACCTACCCCACTGTACTGTGACAGCCAGGGTGCCATTGCTCTTGCTAAGAACCCTGTGTTGCATGGACTCACGAAGCACATGAGGGTGAAGTGGCATTGGACGAGGAGCATGGTAACCGCGGGTGAAGTTGAGTTGCGCTACGTGAAGACCACGGGGCAGCCGGCTGACATGATGACCAAGAGGCTGGTGGAGCAGCAGCATTGGAAGTGTTGCAAGCTGGCTGGGATGGCTCTGAACTGAGAGAGCAACATATCCTAAGGCCAAAAATCCGAGGGGGAGTTTGTTGGTGCAACCCTACGGTTTGCACTCGGCTTGTTGTCCGTGTGCGTGAATGTGTGTGTGTATGGAATGGTATGAGGGCATGGGATAATATATATTTCATGCTTATAATTGTGTGTGAATGTTGAGTCATGATGTCGAGTGTGTGTGTCGAGTCAATAGCGAGTTATCGCTAGACGCGTGTTACGCGGTCGTTTGTGTCTCGCGCGCGGTTTCTATTTTGTCGAACGTTCGGCATGTCGCAGGTGTGTGCAGCAGACCCATCAAGAACTCAAGGATGAGTTTGTGATGAAGAGCCCGAGCCTTGGTGTCAAGCCTCAAGTGATTTCGAAGCTTGCCAAAAGGGTACACCTCAAGATATTGAAGATAGTTACATTACTTTGTGTAGTGTAACATTTCACTTGGTGTAGGCCCTAGTGAAGGGTAGTTTCGAGACCCTTCGTGGTTGGGGACAGTGTGGCACTGTTCCACATCACTGTACCTCGGCTCTTGGGGTTTGTAGGAGCTGGGAGTCATTCCCAACTCGTAACTCTTCCTATCTTGTGTTCTAAGACTATAGTGGCTGCCATAGTACCGTTCGTTCAAACCGACGCTGTGTCGTCAATTCTTTATCAAATCGTGCAATCTAAATTGCTAATTGTAGACGACGTGAAGACGCTCCAGATCCAATTTGAATCAAGTCATTTGCAGCTGTGAGCAGAACGCTATCAACGTTTGAAGCCGCTGTGCAGAAATCCGTCTGTGCTCTCTATCTTTCGTTTTAGGCACATTCAAGCCTATTGTGACTATAACACATATCAATAAATGTTCACACGGTTAGAAGTACCTTGTATGAGGATCGGTATGGGTTTGACAACATTCTCAGTGAGAATGTCGAGGCACCGTGCGATGTTGTCGGAGTTACCCCGCCTGCGCTTGCCGCCGCTAGCACTCCCCGGACTGCCCATTGAGCGTCCTTGTGCGTTGGGTAAGTTCCCGGACCCATCCAGCCCACCCTGGCCAGAAAAGGCCCGCCCGTTGGTTGGTTGGCCGGCAGGAGCGGAACCGTTGGCTTCAGGTGCAGCATGTTGGTCTGTGGCGGCGTTCATGCTTTCTGGAGCCTGTCTCTCAGGTGACCTTGTACCGTTGCTTCGTGCCCCCACGTTCGGACTATGTGTGGAAGAGGGGGTGGCCGCCGGTCTGTCCGGGTCGGCCCCGTCCGGACCTGACGTGTCCTCCGTATCCGCCTCCATACCGTCGGAGGCAAGCCTGCCCCTCTCACCGTTCTGCGGCTCCAAATTCTTAGCAAGCTCAAACCACGGAGCGGTGTGGCTGCACCAACGTTTAAGGTATTCCCACCTCACAGCCCGCCTAAGGGATCTGAGAATCTGCGGGGCGGGTGTACATTCGACAGCGTTTGAGCAAGCAATTACTTTGGTGGCCGAGGTGGGACATGGTATGGAGGGATAGTATATAGAGCTCCGTGAAAGGGAGGGGCAGGAACGGGCACGGAATGGAGCGGGCTGGGGCGACTAGCAGTGCGAATGATGCTACAGGTGCACATGGATGGAAGGGATGACAAGGGGGGTGGTGAGTGGGAGAGGAGTATGAGAGAGAGGGTGGAGGAGGAATAGGGGAGAACACATACATGTGCAGGAGGGTTGAAGAACTCTCTTTGCGGCACCCAGTGGACTCCGGTACGGCACCTCCCTTTCAGATACTGAATGTCACGCACCCACTCCCGGATTCCTTTCAAATGCACCCTTAACTGATGATCTGTCAGTGGTTGACGAGGGTGCGAAGCGACCCATGCTTGAGTGATTTGCGGCCACCCTTGCACCACGCCATCATAGGCCACAACTCCCCCTGGCTGTGCGTCCAAAACTATGCGCAGAAAGTCCGTAGTGAGCTCGTCAGACCACGTGCACCTCGTCCTAGCTATTGTGCCACTCGAGGTGGCACCGCACTCGCTTTCAGCACGGAGGCTTGAGGCCACATTCTGCATGCCAGGCTGGTTCTGGCCAATAGGTGTGGGGGGCGGCGCTGCGGGAGGGACAATGGTATGGTTTTGCACACCCTGGGTGATGCCATGTGAGGGGTCACGAGCAGAAGCCTGCGAAGACAACTCTTGAAGCTGTTGAAGGAGATTTTCGCTGAGCATGATTACCAATGGTAATCTGTGAGAGTGTATAGTGTGGGGGCAGGGCAGAGCGAAAGAGGAGGGGTGAAAAGGATGCATACATCAAGAGTAGCCTTGTGAAGGGGTGTGGGCTGGAGTGATGGATGGAACAGAGGAACAGAGCAACAGTGATGGACACAGACACGGGTTGAGAGGGGAGAGGTTTGTTTGACACTTGTCTTCAGGCGGGAACGTCCACCACAGGTTCGCCAGGTAGTCAAGGGCCAGAAGCCAGGGGAATAGACAAGGGGACGAGAAAGAATCGGTTAACCGTAGGTTGGGCGTGGGAGGAGAGCTGTGTGTTTGAAAGTTGTCTTCAAAAGGCATCCCCACACCAGCTTCGCCTGGTCATCGAGCATCTTCACCACGTTACCAAGAATCAGGCGCTGGGCAAACTAACAAGGGGACGGAGGAAGGGGTTGGTTGGGGGGTGCGTGGGTGGTGGTGCAAAACGGATCGTTTGAAAATGGTATTTATCGAGAGAGTGGGCCGAGGCGAGCAAGAATCGGATGGGTTCCTTGTAAAACGGTTAGTTATGCATATCAACGCGTCTAGAAATCTTGTATGCAACATACGAGATTTGGCTCAAGGAGAAGCACAAATGAAAAAGGCACAAAGGAAGAGAAGCACAAATGAACCGAGACATAAAGGAACAGAGGCACACAGGAACAGAGGCAAAGAGGGGCAGCGGCATAGGGGCACAGAAGGGGAGATACGATTATACTACCTCATGAGCCCAGATCCATCTCGTTTGCCAGCCCATGGCGACTGAATCACCCAAACAATCGGAGACCCGGACTGTATATGTTGCCCATGAGCGAGATTCGTTACAAACGGCTCCGTGAGAGGTACCAAATCACCATCTTCGCACAAACAACTCACCGCCGAGCATAGAATTAGCGAGGCAACAGAGCATCACGGAATGAGGGTGGAATGGAAAGCGTGAATTCCGGCAGCGGTAAGCAAAGAGGAACTCCGTGATGGACGGCCTGTAGAGGCAACGGAACCGATGGGAGGGGGGGTACGCAACGAGGAATGGTTGGAAAAAACAACGCGAGATACGTCCGCACGTTAGCACGCGAAGAAACGGGAAACGATCGCATCAGTGCATGGACGGTACAATATATTGTGACGGAAAGAAGGAGTATGCATGACCGTTTTACGCGTAGCATCAGGGCTAAGTTGTGCGCGGTGAAGTAGACATAAGCGGAGCGAATGACACGTAGACGAATGTAAAATATTTGGTGGTATGTGGAGGGCTTTTAATGCCGCTGTCCTTGCACGGTGGTAATGCCATCACGCACCGTTCGATGAGGAAACATACTTTATAGCATACTGTGGCGTTTAGGACCAGCTAAACGTGGGTGCTGCCAAGTCGCAGACACCAAGCAAACAGTAGCGCTAAAAACCTACGCTCTGTGCCAAAAGGCGATCGAGTTAATAGATTCCTAACCGTTAGGCGCCACGAACAACAAATACCGGAGGCCTGAAAAGCCTGGGTCAGATTATGGCTGGCAGTGCGACTCGAGAGAAACGAGAGATGAGGTGAAATAGAGCGATGACGAGAAAGATGTGCGAGCGGATGACATCGATTGCAATAGGAGTGGGGGGAATGGAAATCTTTGAAGGTGTAAGAGGAGGGTAACGCTGGCAAAATGGAAACAAAATCTGCGGTGTTATTGGGTTCACCCTTCGAGGCCTACTCCGAGTAAGCGAGGCTTACTCTGGAGTATGCGGAGTTACTCCGCGGAGCTAAGTTTGCCCGGAAACGAAACTTCCTGAAGGGCCACTTCGAGTCGTACTCCGAGTAGGTAGTTCAGCGATCGTTTGCTCATTTTGGCTTACTCGGAGTAAGCCACGTCGGACTGAGTAAACTTCCGTAACACGTGCGAAGCGGGAGTTAGTGAACTCCCTCGAAGCTCACTTACTCCGCTTAAGGGTGCTACCGATCAGGGCCATGCTTTGCGTAGGCCTTACAAGAAAGCACTCTCTCCCTGTATGATTTGTCCAATCGTGTGAAATTTCATACTATGATACTTGCTCCTCCTAATTTTCAAAATTATTGGCCCTACATGCTTTATATCCTCTAACTGTGCTGATATAACCAAAGGATCAAGTAGATAGGATAAGATCTGCTAAGTCTGGGAGGAGACAATGAAGTCTCTGTGGTGACCTTGTTGATGAGAATTTGAAAGAGAACAAGATAATTATAAGATGGGAGGTCCTCCGCGTCCCGGGTCCTGGCAGGGGCTATGGCGTCCAACTCGTGTATGAACACCTGGGTGCAGTGCGGTGAGGAAGGGTGAGGAGGGGTGTGGAGGGGAGTACGGGAGAGGAGGCGGCATCCAGGATGGTGAGAAGGGCCGCCACCATGCATCCTGGCTACCCCATACCACACCGCATCACCCCATGCCGCACAGCACCGTACCGCACCACTCACAATGGACGGCGCAGCCTCCTGGGCGGCGGAGAACACCTCGTTGAGAGCCTCCTCGCTCTCCCCAAAGAACTCGCTCACGACACAGCACCACACAGCACCACATAGCACCACACAGCACCACATAGCACCACACAGCACCACACAGCACCACACAGCGATTTTGGGCGTGACGATGCGATCAAAGTCGCCGGTGTACGGTGAGAGAGCGAAGTATCTGTTTGCGGAGATGTTCGGCGGCGATTCTGGAGTAGGCGGAGGGAGCTCGAAGTCGGGCGAAATGTCTGAGGGACGATCGATCCAGGTGTAGACTGTTGGAGTCTGGGCTGGGCGCAACAGGGTTGATGGGATCGTGAAGTGCGAATGTTACTCGATCGTAGTATCGGAACCCTCTGTTACGGCGAGCCATGCAGCTCATGATTGTCCCTTTCCCTTTGTCTTTCGCCGAGATGAGTGCAGGAGATTGGGAAGTGCTGGCAACGGAGGGAGGCGACACAGTGGAGGTTGCGGCAGAAGGCTTTGCTTGTGCCGAGGGTTGCTGACTGTTGCGCCGTTCATCAGCAGCCTGACGTTTGTAGCACTGGTCGATAGAGTGGCCAGACTTCTTGCAGTATTTGCAAAAGGCTCCTTTCTTTCCGCATTGCTCTCCTTGTGACGCTCCTGTGTAGAAGACTAATTTCTCCCGTTTGACATTCTTCTCATTGTACAGGTCAATCTCCTTTTGTTCAGAAAGGAGCGTGGCGCACAGAGCCGACTCCGATATTGTTGCTCGGGCGCGAAGAAGTGACTGACATTGTCGCCAGTCAGGGCCGAGGCCAGAGGTGACCATCGAAATGAACATGTCGTCGGGAACGGTCCCACCGCACTTTCTGACTTGATCGCGCAGATTGCGGCACCGGTTAACATACGGTCCCGCCTTCTCCCCTTGCTTCATTTTAACCGAAGTCAACTGGCTGAGCAGACGACTCATAGTGACTGGATCTGTTGCCATGTATGAGTTGCGCAGGTGTTCCCAGGACGCGTGCGCGGGAGCCCATTCCGTTTTGTAGGGACGGATGCCAAGCTGCTCTTCAGGTGAGAGATTTCGAAGGAGAGCGGTATACGCGAGGAGGGATTCGTGGTAGTATTGATGCTTCTCTTGGATGGTGCCTTCCGTGGGAAAAGGTAGGCTCCCGTCGTAGTACATCCAGATCTGAGTGGTTGTCGCGAGAAGCTCAAATTCGAAACTCCACGTGTAGAAATCCTTCCCGTCAAAAGGAATTGAGGTCTTCAGTTTTGAAGTCAATACAAACTTGGTTTGCATAGAGACGATTTCTGATTGTGCTCGTTGTGGGTTGTCTTGTGCAGGAGCTGAGCCTTGACGATTGTCAAAGGTAAAAGACCTCTCGGAGTTGACGCGGCGGTCTTCTCCAGGGAGAGGGAGTCCAGCAACTCCTCTGGCGTAGCTGGAGCCGTCAATGCTCATTGCTTGATGGCTCTCAAGAGCGTTGATGCGTGCGATTAGCTGCTCTTCGACAGCGGCGCTGACGGAGGTCACTGCTGATGGCGCATTGGTTGTTGCTGGTGGTGGGCCCGGTGAGTCTGCAGTAGCTTTCCCTTCAGGAGCCATGATATTGCAGACTTAGAAATGTATTAAGTTTATAATGAGATTGTTCTAGGAAGAACGAGGACTTGGCAGATCTTATAATCTACTCTAGCTCTCATACCATGCTGATATAACCAAAGGATCAAGTAGATAGGATAAGATCTGCTAAGTCTGGGAGGAGTCAATGAAGTCTCTGTGGTGACCTTGTTGATGAGAATTTGAAAGAGAACAAGATAATTATAAGATGGGAGTACAAGGATATAAATAGCATTCCTAGCTAGCCATGTACTCTGAGGGGTACATTCCCTTGTTAACTGAATTGCATTGCTACAGTAACCCACGACTATTGCCATTCTAGACAGTTACCATGTCGCACTTCGCAACTGCCTCGTGCGGTTACTGGACAGTCGAGGGTCACGACCGTTGACTGTCTTGGACTGTTGACCTTCGGGTGACCCTCGACCTTCCGCGTGCTCTATATGAGCTATTGCGGTACTGGTACAGGCGTGCACTTCAGTATGGAGTGACGCGGGAGTGAAGAACCTTCGGGAATGTTTATAATAACCTTTCGGTTATTCCAACAAACTGTAAAGCTCACTCACGTCTGTAATAAAGTGGTGGTCCAACACCTTGGGGTTGGTATATAGCATGTACACTACCTCCCTTTTCCACCCAACACTTGAATGACTACATGTTGGTGCGATAATCATTCAGCTAGTTTAGGGGTAAGGACCCAGCAAATTTACACCTCGGGGGTCATTGCCTCGGCCTTGGTTCTGATGTCAGAGAAAAGAACAGAAGGCAGGTATCGCTCTCCGAAGCTGGGCAGAACCACCTGGCAAGGGAAGGAATGGATGCAGGTAAGGAACGCCTCAGAATCCCCAAAATCAAAATGTGGCATTGAAGGCAAATGTGGCTTTCAAAATCAAGCATGAGAAATGATACAACTCTAAAAAAGCACCTCTATGTTTTTGTCAGACAAGATGGCACATTTCCGAGCATGCTCATTGCAAACACTCACCACGACAAGCTTGCCGGCATTCTCAGGCCTCTTGGCAACTTCAATGGCTGCCACCACTGCTGCACTAGAGGAAATGCCCGTCTGCAACACGTGAAGAAGTTACACATTCCACGCATGCACGGAACAAACACTCTCAGTAATCAGCAAATGCTCCCAGATACCGGTAGGTGCCAAGGCTGCAAATGTCATGGCACAAGGGCAACAGCTCAACTGCAGCAACTGTTGTGAGAGCGGCAAACTATAAACAATGAAACAACCAAGAACAGTGACATGTAATCCAGTAACATGCAGAAAAAAAAGCGCCCCGATAAACATGGACACAAGCAACCACTCAAGCACCACCACCACCCGGCACCAACCAGCACCCACCACCCAGCACCACCGCCCAGCACCACCCAGAACCGCCCAGCACCACCCACCACCCGGCACCACCGACCAGCACCACCCAGCACCGCCCAGCCACCACCCAGCATCACCGCCCAGCCCCTACTAGCAGCCCTTCCTTCACAGCAAGCTGCTTGGCCATCTCCACTGAGTCATCGCTGCTGACCTGCACACGGAGAGGTTAAGAGGGGTGCAGAACGTTGAGGGGCGGGGATGGGGGATGGGGAAGGGGGGGTGGGGAGTACACTGCTTGGTTATCTCCACTGAGGAATTAGTGCTGACCTGCAGATAGAGGTGTTGACAGGGGTTCAGATGTACCAAAGCGATTTAAATCCCTGCTTAGGGAGAGCGTGGTTAAATTGTTCATGTGACCTCACCTCTTAAAACCAAGAATTTTCTACATCTTGCTTTAGCCAATACTTCATCGCACTTCAGCTCAGAATCCAGTTAGCGATTTAATCTGACATTTAAGTGAGTCGACTGAAAGCCCCAGCCTCGCCTCCTCCTTACCTGAATGACTTTCGTCTGGAAAAGATCACATCCAGAACCCTCAGAATGAAGCCCGCTCCAATGCGTTTTGAGGCGTCCAATGCCCTGGATCTTGTGGGGACCTGTGCAGGAGCGCAGCAAGAGGGGGAAGGGAAGGTATTGACAGAGAGGTGTGATGTAAGTTCTGAGTGACGACTGATTCAATACATAGAGCCCCTATACATAGAGCACCTGGCAGCATGAAGCCTCACAACACGCACACATGGATGGATGGAGCCCGTATTGTCTTCCCCACACAATCTCCTTTAATGAACAAGCTGAATTCTAGCTTTATGTCTTGCTATGTCAAAAGCAGCAAGGACACATGGAGCTGTAACCAAAGTACTGACACCTTCAGCAAGGGTAGCTTCAAAAAGTTGGGCAATGCCTTTCAAACGCACAAACGGCTTAACAGTATGTTTTTTTTTATTGCGCTGTATGTAACCTACTACAGCCAATATAGGCTCACCTGGCTTTCCGCCTGAGAAAGCAGCGCTCTCCTTGGGCTCACTGAAAAGTTGACTCAGAACTCGTCTCCTTATCAATTGTTTCTTACACCCAGTAGGGTCTCACCTGGCTTTCTTCCTGAGAGAACCCGTTCTCCTTGGGCTGACTTCTAACTCAACGCAGAAGTCGTCTGTTGATAATTATGACAGCCATTACAGTCTCACCTGGCTTTCCACCTGAGATACCAGCGCTCTCCTTGGGCTCCACTCCAATCAGCTGTGCGAGAGACGGGGCAGGGAGCATGGGCAGGGAGCGAGGGCAATGGAAGAGAGACGGGATCAGCATGGTAGGTGAAATCACATTTGTCATGTCAAATAGAATCATGACATGCTTTTGGTGGGTACAATTACATTTGTCATAATTCCGCTATCATTTGAAGCCTTTTGGTGCATGAAAGAAAGAACTTGGGTGGCAAGGGCAGGAGTGTGGAAACGATGAAAGAGTCCGACGTGCCAGATTCCCCACCTCGCAATTCCTCAAGATCAAAATGGGTAGGTTCGTTGTGCCAACCACCCACTCTCTGCCATGACAACACGTCCATCCCATCTTGATGTTGGGGTTCTGGCAGCGCAGGTACCACCCCGTGCCCGTCTTTACGAACATTTCAAAAGTCTTTTGAGACGTCTCAAAAGCAGGTACCACCCCGTGCCCATGCCGGTCCCCCCCATGCCAATGACACTCCCGCCCATGCCAATGCTAGTGCTGCCTGCCCGTGCTGATGCGCCAGCCATACCAGCTTGATAGACTGATAGCCGCTCAATTACCCCCCCCTACTACCCTTTTATCTCACCTAGATGCTCGGGTTCTGGCTGCGCAGGTACCGCCCCGTGCCCATGACAGTGCTGCCTGTGCCCCAATATTGCCTAGATACTAATATGTATATGTTTTGCTGGGGCTAGAGGTGCTGAGCCTGGGGGTGCTACTGCTGGAGACCCTGGGTCTGGGGGTGCTACTGCTGGAGACACTGAGGCTGAAGACCCTGGGACTGGAGGTGCCGGTTCTGGGGGTGCTGCTGCTGGTGGAGCTGGTCCTGGAGGAGCTGGCGCTACTGGGGGTGCTGGAGCTACTGGGGGTGCTGGAGCTACTGGTGCTGGTGGCACTGCACAGCCGCGTCCGTCGTCTCTGACGTCGTCTGACTTTGTGCTTTGCCAGGTTCTTAGTCTCCCTTCGTCTACTAGTCTTCCGTTACAGCCTGGCTCACCGCTGCCTGCTCCTTTTCCTTACACTGAGCAGACAGGGGGTTTTACTGAGCGTCGTGAGCCTGCGTCGCGTCCTGTCTCGCCTCTCCATTCTGGTCGTTCCGGTCGTCGTGTTCCTCGTTCGCGTCAGCCGGCTGTCTCCGGCACCCACCTCGTCGTCCGTCGTCCTTCCTCTCCTCCGCAGCGTGTTTCCCTGCCGTCCCCTCCTACGTCTTCTCTGCCTACCGTTCCTGAGCCTGAGTCTGACCGCTCCCGTGCTGCTCACCCTACTGTCACGCGTCTGCTAGCCACAGTTGTCACTGACCCGTCGCTTGAGTCTGCTGCTGCGTCTGCCTTAGTCGCTGAGCTTGTTGACTTTGCTGCTGCCTGTCGTCTAGACTACGCTGCTAGTCTTGTTTCTGAGTCTGAGTCTGTCTGTCCTCCGTCCGTCGGGGGTGAGTGTGCCCTTAGCACGGACGTCCTTGAGGACAGGCAGGAGGACCTTGAGTGTCTTGCAGCCGCTGCGCCTCATCTCGTGTCCATGCTGCTTGCCCCTGAGGGAGACCCGGATGCTCCAGACATCCCGACCCCACGCTCTTACGCTGAGGCGATCGCGGGTGAGTACTCCTCTCAGTGGCAGACAGCCATGGACGCAGAGATGGCTTCCTGGAAGTCCACAGGCACATACGTCGACGAGGTTCCCCCTCCTGGGGCGAACATCGTCAGTGGCATGTGGATTTTCAGGGTGAAGCGGCCGCCAGGTTCTCCGCCTGTCTTCAAGGCTCGTTACGTTGCTCGAGGCTTCAGTCAGAGGGAGGGAGTTGACTTCTTCCAGACCTTCTCCCCCACCCCGAAGATGACCACTCTTCGGGTGCTGCTGCACGTTGCCGCTCAACGTGACTACGAGCTTTACTCTCTTGACTTCAGCACAGCCTCCTTACAGGGCAGCCTGAACGAGGAGATCTGGCTGCGCCGCCCACCTGGCTTCACTGGGTCGTTCCCTCCTGGTACCCAGTGGAGCCTCCGGCGGCTGGTTCACGGTCTCCGCCAGGCGCCACGTGAGTGGCACGACACACTGAGGACTACACTTGCGGCTCTTGGGTTTACTCCGTCGACTGCTGACCCGTCGCTGTTTCTGCGCACCGACGCTTCACTGCCGCCGTTCTACATCCTCGTGTACGTCGACGACTTGGTATTTGCCACTGCTGACACTGAGGCTCTCGCCAGTCGGAGCTGCAGAAGAGACACACGTACACAGACCTGGGTGAGCTGCGCAGTTACCTTGGCTTGCAGATCACCCGGGACAGAGCACGCCGCACCATCACCCTGACTCAGTCACACATGGTGCAGCAGGTCCTTCAGCGCTTTGGCTTCACCTGGTCCTCAGCACAGCACACTCCACTGGCTACAGGTCACTCGCTCTCAGCTCCACCTTCGGACGAGTCCATAGAGCCGAGTGGTCCTTACCCAGAGCTAGTGGGCTGCCTCATGTACCTGATGACCTACACTCGTCCTGACCTTGCGTACCCTCTTGGCCTTCTGGCTCGCTACGTGGCTCCTGGTCGGCACCGAAAGGTGCACATGGATGCTGCTAAGAGGGTACTGCGCTACTTGTGCAGTACATCGGGCATGGGGCTCGTGCTTGGAGGGCGGAGCTCATTTGTCCTCACTGGACACTCAGACGCTTCTTGGGTTGACGACCAGGCTACACAGCGGACGTCACAGGGTTACACTTTCAGCCTTGGCTCCGGTTCTGTTTCTTGGCGGTCTACACGCTCGTCTTCTGTTCTCAGCTCCAGTTGTGAGGCTGAGATCTACGCTTGGGCCATGGCTGCACAGGAGTTACGCTGGCTCACCTACCTGCTGACCGACCTGGGAGAGCGGCCTCGTTCTCCTCCAGTTGTGTACGTAGACAACAAGGCCGCCATTGCCTTGTGTCAAGAGCACAGACTGGAGCACAGAACGAAGCACATCTCTCTGCGTTACTTCCTGGCTCAAGAGTTGCAGCAGCGGGGTCAGTTTCGCCTTGCTCACGTGGCCACTCGGGCCAACACTGCTGATATATTCACCAAGGCACTTCCGTCTGGTGACCATCAGCGCTTTTGTACTTTGTTGGGCCTTGTGCCTACGTTTCCACACTTGCTGTAGTCTCTGCTTGTACTGTGATCTAAATATATATATACCTGCATGCTTGCTCTTGCTAGATAGAGATCACTGTGCTGTTCTTGTTGCTTATATACCTCTGCATGTGGACTGGCCTTGTGGCCGTTTGCTTGTGCTCAGTGTGTGTGGTGACGTTGTGATCCACCTTGAGCTGTGTTTTGTGTCTTCTCTTGACTGGTCTTGTGACCATTGCTTGCTCTGGCTATCCCCCATTTCGCCTATGGGGGTGTGTCAAAACATATGCATATTTGTATCTAGGCTATATCGGGGCTAGCCTTAGGGGGTACAGAAACATTCTCGACACTCTAGTTCTGTACCCCAACCTTCACCTAATCACATCATCCCATGCCTATATTCTAAGATGCTTGTACCTTGATAAGCTGATAGCTCAATCCCCCCCATGACTACCCATCCGTTGAGGTCTGGCTGCGCAGGTACCGCCATGTGTCGTGCCTATGATGGTCCGCCCCCATGCCCACAACAGCCCAACCCATACTGATGCGCCATTCTACCTTCATATTCCACCCAGACCCCGCCGAAACCACCCATCCATCTGACCTTAATGTTGGGGTTCTAGCTGCGCAGGTACCGCCCCGTGCTCGTGACAGTGCCACCCGTGATGATGTGCAAACCACACTACCTTGATAGGCTGTTAGCCTATGAGCCACCCAATCCCCACCGTGACCACTCATCCGTCCATCTCACCTTGGCGTTGGGGTTCTGGCTGTGCATGTACCGCCCCGTGCCCGTGACAGTGCCGCCGGTGCCAATGCCAGAGACGAGGAAGTCCACTGTGCCACGCGTGTCCTCACAGATCTCAGGCCAGTCGTCTCAAAGTGCACCTGCGACCAAATGAGCCACATGGGTCACGAGGGAGGAGAAGACGCATTGAGAATCCCCAATCAAGTGCCAATGCCGGAGACGAGGAAGCCGACAGTGCCGCGCGTGTCCTCCCAGATCTCTGGCACGTGTAAAAAGAGTATTTTTGAGACGTCTCAAAAACACTCTTTTTACACGTGGCTTCTCTATCTCTGGTTCCTGTAGATTTATGCTAGCGTGGAACCTTCTCGCTTACGTCGAAGACTGATTCAATCGAGGCTCCAACCTGTCGCAGTTTCACACTTTTTCGCACAACGAAGTGGTGTTACCACTGTTCTGACTTTTTGATCCTGGTTACCAACCCTCCCGAAGACCTTCTTTGGTTCCGAAGGACTGGATAAGAGTTTCTGGCTCACCTCGAGATTTCACGCCATTTCCGCCTCGTCATTGCATCCATCTGCATGGTTAGCTCAGCTTTAGCGTAGAGTACTTTAGTCAGTTTGCTCACATCAGATCCTTAGCTTCAGGCTTGTTTGTACTGATGAAGGTTCGAAAGAACCGAAACTAGTTTACTCAAGTGCTGCATTTAAGTTGACGATTTTGTTCAATCTGGCTCTCTAAGACGCTTTAGCTCACAAGCTTTCCAGGCTTTATCATTCTTTCATTTCATGGAGTTTGCTTCGTCGTCCTAAGAAACAGTTTAAGTTGATGGACATAAGACCTCCGCAGCCCACCTGTCTATTCCTGGCAGCACCAGATCTCTGGCCCAGTCGTCTCAAAGTGCACCTACGGCCAACCGAGTCAAACGTTATGAGGGAGGGTGAAGTGATGGGAACAGTGGAGAGGGGAGTGCGTCGGAGAAGGGGTTGTGCGAGAAGAGCGTGTATGTCATGGGGGTGTGCAGTAAGGGGGATAGCCTGATCCACAATTACGTACCAGCGTGGGGCTTTGCTTTGGGAGAAGGGGGTACGCGAGAAGAGAGTGTGCAACACGGGGTAAGGGAGATAACTTGATGCGGATTCGGCAATGTATCAGCTTGAGGCTTTGTTATTTGTAGATTCTGGTACTTCAAGTTACAAGCCCTTGGATCTCGCACGCTTCTCGAACTGCTGCAGCATGCAAACTCCGTTAGGTTTTGCCCACGATTTCCTTCGCCTTGGCCGC